TTCAGCCACCAGGACCCTTTCCATTTTTCTAAGCCGCACGAGTGGACAAAATGGATACGGAGATTGGAGAGATTCCGCCAGGCGAGCAACTTAACTTCAAGCTCTGAGGAAAATCAGGTGAATACTAGAATCTACTGTATGGGAGACGAAGCAGACGATGTCCTGAGAGGCTTAAAGCTCAGTGATGTAGACCAACGGCAATACACTAAAGTGAGGGACGGCTCTCAGTCATTCTTCATAGTGAAAAAGAACATTGTTTATGAATGCATACAGTTTAATATGCACAAACAGGAAGCAAACAAGACTGTTGATGCTTTTGTCACTGCCCTACATGCATTAGCAGAGCACTGCAATTATGGGACTTTGCATGACGAGCTCATAAGGGACAGGATGGTGGTCGGACTGGCTGACACGCAGCCATCAGAACTCATGCCAATGGAAAAAAATCTGGACCTGGAAAAAGCTATTAATATGGCAAGACAGTCTGAGGAGATTAGAAAGAAGCAAAACACACTGAGTAGTGATGCTAGCAATGTAGAAATGATGGATGGTAGTTCTGTGGACAAAGTGTTTAGAGGCAAACAGCAAAAAGAAAAGCCTAAAGTCAACAAATCCAAAAGCAATGGAGATAAGACACCCAACTGTCAGAGCAAGAATCCTAAGAGCTCTCAATGCTTCAAATGTGGTGGCACGCATGAATGCCCTGCTAAGGATGCAAAGTGTTGATCCTGTTGGAAAAAAGGTCATTACCAGCATGCATGCTATGCCGGTAAAGCTGTGCATGGTATTGAGGGAGAGGCGGAAAGCTTCTTTCTTGGCTCTGTGACATCTAATGCTAATCCATGGACTGTCGACAGATATAATGGACAAAAGTATTACATTCAAACTTGACACTGAAGCGGATGTTACTGTTGTGTCACAGACAACAGTATTTTCTCCAGTACACAGCTGCCTGTTCTCCAGAAAGCTGACAAACCCGGTCTAGAATGGATACCGCTGGACGTGTCGGGGTTCACCAGATTGCAGCTGAGGTTCGGGGCTAAGCAGACAATAGAGAAGGTCTATGTGGTCAAAAACTTGAGTATGCCCTTGCTCGGGTTGCCAGCCTTTGTTGCCCTTGGATTACTCATCCATGTCAACAGCATAGACATGGAGACCCTCAAGTCAAGCTACCTGAAGCTATGTGGCAGCCTAGGTGAGGTACGACAACCATACAGCATTGGGCTTAAACCAAAAACTGCTGGGTCTGGGACACGGACCAGGCGACGGCATTTGAAACGCTGAAGAAAGCACTGTCTTCTCCTGCTGTGCTGGCTATGTATGACCCAAGCAGAGACACCAAAGTGTCCGCCGATGCTTCATTATATGACTTGGGAAGTGTTCTTCTCCAGAGGTGGAAGGAAGAATGGAAGCCTGTGGCTTATGCATCGCGGTTGCTTACCCTAACAGAACAACAGTACGCACAGGTGGAAAAGGAAGCCCTGGGTCTGACATTGGCCTGTGAACAGTTTTGGGATTTCCTCATAGGAGAGCATTTCTACCTGGAGACTGATCATAAACCCCTCATTAGCCTACTTGGAGCACAAGGTCTACATCTTCTGCCCAGAATTCAGCGCTTCAGGATGAGACTAATGTGCTACACATACTCCATCATACATGCGCCAGGAAAGTTGCTTTACACAGCAACACCTGTAAAATCACACGTCCTCAGATGAACAGGATGTGATGGAGAGCACCAGCGTCTATGTGGACTATGTTACTGAAAGCCTACCTGTCAGTCCAACATACATGGACAACCTGAGAGAGCAGCTCAAGGCAGACAGTCTTCACTTTCGGTTTTACTTTAACCTTACTTAAAGCTTTCCCTCTCTGCTCAGGACTTTGGACAAGTCATAAAACTCACCCCTGCTCGCCTCAGAGCAACAGTTAGGTCAGTGCGTTCTTCAGTAACAACAGGAGGGTTAAATGTTAGAGAGGCAGAGAGTGGAGTGTCAGCAGGTGGCGTTCAGACAAGAGACTCTGCTTTCTCAAATGCATTAAACACATGAACTCAGAAGCTGTGGTCTCATTTTCTTTCCAAAAAAATATTGAAGCCTACAGCTTTTTCAGCTGAACCATCGACCCTCTAAATTCATCACAAGATCAGCGCTACTTCTGCAACCATTCACTCATGGGTTGGTTAAATTAGAGATGAGCCGCAACTCTGCTTTGGCCTTCCACAGCAGAGGTTTGAGATGATCGATCTTTTTTAGGAGCCTCCTTGAGATTAATAATCAGCCAAATTCCTGAGGTTGAATGAGCAATTAACACCGTGCTGCTGTGGAGTGGCAGCCATGTTGAGCTAAATCAGTCATCTCACTGGGAGGGAGCGTACGAGACGAGTCATTACTCTGAGCTGCTTCTGAGCTTTCTGTGGACAGAATACAGGGTAATGTGCTCTCTGCTAATTAAGTGCCCACAGAGCCTGATCAGGTCACTCAGTTTAAATGCAAATTTTTACAGACACAGGGAGAGAGACGTGTCCTAAAAATGTTGCTTGGTTTTGCAAACAGCTATGAATCCGTGCATGCTGTAATCCTAACCCTGTTCATATACGACTAAGATGCAACAGCAAATACGTTTTAAAACTATTTAATCACAAATAGATTATGTTTTTTTTATCAACTTAATGAGGACATGTAGGTAATGGACATTTCTGAAAAGTAGCTAAATGTTTACATTGAATGTTTCTGTCTCTGTTGCTGAATTCCTGACCTTTGTGTGACCACCACTTCTGTAGGCTGTGAGAATATAGCACTTCCTGCCAGTGAACATAATGCAGCGGTCATGCCACAAAGTGTCATATGTTGTGGTATGCGCGGCCAGAGGCTTGGTGACGCATCTGCTGTAGCTGGCGAGCTAACTGTTCAGTCGCTCAGTCACAAAAGCTCATGGAGCTTCTCTCTACTGTCTCTCTGTGCCCTGTTTACTCTGGTAGTTTGTTCACCATTGTTTAACATTTCACTCAATAAAAAGCTACTGAAGAGGGAAAATAAACCTCTCCAAGCTAATAAGTTTGCTAAAGATCATTTAGCAAATGTGTTTGCCCCCTTAGTTTTCTGTGTTGGGATAAAGGGAGTTCATAGTGAAATTTAAATCGTTTTTGACGTTTAACCCTTTAATGCTTTAAACATTATTTTTAGGGGCTTTGAGGCTTGTTCAATCCAAACACTCCTGCTTTCAGTGATCACACACCAGAGTAGCGACTACACACAAAACACTTATTTACATCTGTTAATGAGAAAGTGATCAAGCGGTATGGGGTCACTACTGAAGCAGCAACTTATGACGTCCTACTGGCATCCACAGCCGTGAACACAAGCAGTTGTGATCATTATGATGCAGGTAGAGTCTGTAGGCATTTCTACAGTGCATGCATTACATTAAATTAAATGACAGTAATCGGGCTGACACTTAATTTACCAGAAGTGCACACAAAAAAGTGATGCTGTACTAGAAAGATGAATGAATCCAACAAATAACATCACCACAAATAATTAAATCACAGATCAAATCAAAGTGCTGCTTCCGTCAACATGTGAATGCAGTTCAATATTGTTTATAGGGTTTAATTAGAATCTATTTGTGTGTTTCTTTAAAAAAAACTAAGTGCTGAGTCACTTTTACAGCTGCTGTGACTTGATTTCTCCACAGGGATCAATAAAGAATATCACCTCATCATGATGGAGCAGGGTCACAGCTGCACACTCTCTGAAGTCTCTAAAAACCTGAACACCATAAACTTTTTTTCTGCCGGTCTTTGGGGCTCAGAGCTAGGTCAGACTCTGACATCAGAGATCATAAAGACTAAATGAACTTCCGTCAGTGCAGCTGATGAGGACTGAGCTGCAGAGAATGACTCCAGGGAGACGCTGACTGATTATTTACTGTCTGAAAATCACTGATCCCAACGAGCTGCTGCTTTACAGCCCAATAGACAGACGCACCATTACTCTGGCGTGAAGAATTTACTCCCTGAAATATTTCAAACTGATCTGCTGTCAAAAAACAAATGCTGAAAATGAACGTTGTCTTGTTTTCTAGACACATTTTCGATGAATGATAGCAGTAAGTGCTAAGAATTTCCTGTGACTACTTCATAATTAAAGTCAACTTGTTTGGTGTCTCACACGTGTAAATACTTGACATATTTTAACCATATGCCTAAACTAAGTCTAAACTGAACCTAACAAAAGCTGTATGTTAATAGACTGGGTGGAAACAAATGAATATACTACTAAGGTTTTACAGCAGAAAAATACATGTCAGGATAGCATAGGGCCATAATACATGATTTAAATAACAAGGGGAGACAGAGATGAAAGTTAAGTTGGTCTAAAGTGTCTATGATTTAAAAAAAATAAGGAAAGATCAGAAAAATTTTCCTTGTGTGCACTTTTGAGACGGTCCCTAACCTCAGCTCATCAGGATCCTGTCTACAAGTCCTGCATTGCACCAGGCTTCATGAGGAGCACGAGGTCATAGCGACACGTCAAGCTTTTTCCTGCACTGAACTATTAATCTAGTGAAAACAGATGGAAAGTAATTAAAGGTTAATGTCTGATTATTAAACTTTAGAACTATTTACACCTCAGTGGTTTTAGACGGCAGCCTCTTTGTTTACATTTTGGCAAAGTCCTGCTGGTTTGGCTACTGTTCACACTGTACAGAGACCTGGATTACTTTGATATTTGATGTTGGAGTTCTTGATATCACTGATTTGACTTAGTTATGACTGATAAAATGTGAAGTTTGTGGTAAAGTGTGTGTTTGTCCTCGCGTGAGAGACGGGAAAAACAAACATTCAGATGCTGAAGTCCATCATCACTTCATACATTACCATTTGTTTACATCCTTAGTAGCTGCAGACACAATGGCTCCAACTGTTAATGTCAGGGTGAGTTCAGTGTGTGTGTGTGTGTGTGTGTGTGTGTGTGTGTGTGTGTGTCTGTGAACCTTAC